TTATTTTTTTAAATTTATGTTCTTCATTACAATTACGAAGGATCATCTCGACCATAAGGCCACTAAAGCAATCACTTGGGACCCTAAATATTTTAGGGCCCCAATTTTTTTCTAAAGATATATATATATATTATTACTCTTATATTTACTTTTTTTTATTTCACTTTCTATTTTTTCTTTCATTATTAAATATTCTAAAGTCTATCAAACGGTAAAACCTCGTTATAAATTTGGCTTTAGGTTCCAAACTTGTTGAGACGGCCCTACAATTAAATATATTTATAGCCTAACATCAAACACTTATCTATAAATATCTTGTCGGCGATCAAATCTTTTATGCTGTTGGTTGATACTTATAGAATTAAAAGTCTATTTAAGTAAAAATAAAAATAAAAAACTATGTTGATTGATATTGATTGATTATATATCCAAGAATGATCTCAATGAAACCATAATTGGAGATATAATATATTGTCATAAACTGTAACATGATTTCGACTTTGTGGTTATCTTTAGACATTTCTTTAGCTATCATGAACACATTTGAAACAAACTAATGAATTGGATGCGGCATCGTTTGACTCACATACTAGTTATACATATAAATTATAATGCAAGATTGTTTATACGATGAATAATAGTAATGAATAGATAATTATGCGAGGAATAATAATGCATGAATTTTATTGCTTCTAATTAGGTTAGACATTGCTACAGGGTAGTCAACCAAGTTGCAGATGCCTAATTGGCAAAATGGAGCTAGTATTATAAATGAAGAGTTATTTACTTTTACACATCATCAACTACTATCGATATCCATTTGACTTTATAAAATTGATCTCATACAAACAGAATCCCTAAGGCATACGTGTTTTATATTAAAAAAGGAGAAAATGACGGGGATTTTTAAGAGCCGTCACTTAATTTTTAAAGAAAAATTAAGAAAACTATTATTTTTCAAAAGATTAAAAAAGAAATCAATCGAAAATATTTAAAATACGAAAAGTCATCGAGTATATTATAATTGGTAAGAAAAATATTCCTACAAATCTTAGAACCGTTTAATTTCATTTTTTATTTCTATATTAAAATATTAATAATGTACATTATTTAATCGCTTCCTATGCTAGCAAATTTATTCTTGAAATATTAGGTTGAGAAATTTAAAAAATAAAAGGAAGAATTATCATTAATGACAGAAATCATATAATAAAAATGGGAAGTAAAAAATGCATTAGAATTACAAATGTGAAAGTATAAAAAAAAAATTCTTTTTAAAAAGTAAAATAAAAGAAGACATCAATTTAAAGGCAAAATATTTTGTAAGACTACTGTTAGGCTAAACAAATTAAACGTTATTAAGTTCATGTTCCATAATTTTAATAATTAAATATACAAATATAAAATAAAATTAATGATATAAATATATGGATGCGAAAAATTGAGAAGAATTAATTATTCTTACTAAATTTGGAGAGAATTTTTTCCAAAATTTATTCACTTAACTATGGTTATGATACTAGTTAATGCAATATATTCTTGACATTTAATAATTAAATAGTACACATGTCTCTTATCTAGATGTCCCACTTAACACGTGTTTGTGGATCCTCCAATTGTTTCATTCAAATGGTTAACAGTAGTATATGACAACTTGAAGCTATTATTCAATCAAAACAAATTAATGGTAGGTGCGGTGTTCTGATGGAACAGTAATTTTAAATTTAATTATTCATTTTTATCAAATTAGCATACTTTGCCGATGGGTTAGCCATAGTAATGGCCTATTACAATTGTATTTGACAAGGGAAAAAAAATTAAAAATTAGATATGATGAGATGGTGGTTGTACGGAGATATTGTTATAATTTATAAATGATATTCATAAAATCAGATTCGGAATTATGACATATCTACAATTTTGAATAATAGTTAATACTATCCTCTTTGTCCTTTATAGTTCGTCATAAAAGAAAATGTCACCTTCCTATAATTAGAAACAATTTAACATTAAAATCCTTCTTTCACCCTTTAATGAAATGAATCTCAATCGCACAAATATCTAAGATTATTTTAGACTATAAATTTCAAAAGTCTTTCTTTTTCTCTTAAACACCGTGTCAAGTCAAAGGGCGTCACACAAAATTTGACGGAGGAAGTATTAATTTTAAACAAATAAAACGACTAACAAGTGGAATGGAACTATAGTCTTTATATATCGAAATAATGCAAATCTATCAAAAAGAAATAAAAATGACTCTTGTGAACTGAAGTTGATCGGTTGTTCAATTATTTGTATAGTCATGTGAAACATAAGTATTACGGAGGTATATCATGGTGGAGTAAGGATTTTTATTTAAAGCTTTAAAATATGAAGAAGTAAATACACAAACAAATTTAACATTTGAAATATCTACATAAAAGATAATGTTAACAATGTATAAACAGTGTAATTTTCCGTCTAAAGAGAATTTAGATTAACAATGTATATATGTGTGTCTTTTTCCTTTAGATTATTGTCTTGTGCTATTTTCTTTCCAATAGTAGGTTAACCAAATCTAATCAAACTTTAATATATCATATGCAAACTAAACCATCATGAGTTATGACTAGATAAAATAATCTATAAAATCATATAAGTTATATGCATGAAAAGTACACGTTCAAAGGATCTAATTAAGACTATGAGTTTATAAATTTTGCATTCTAAAAAGAGGAACTTTCACCTATAGCCATTTAAAAATAGACTAATTACTCTACATAGCTATAGTTTGATAATTACAATTTGTAGCTACATGTCATAGGGAGGAGAGATGTCACGCCCTAAACTCAAAGGGCGCAACTGGCTCATAATGCCAAAACCCAGGCTTGAGCCAATCCTGCTGAACCATTTGCTACTAGCACATGGCAACCACACGCAATCAAGAAAACAAACAAGTATATCTCGACTTAAAACTAAGCTCTCGGCCAGCAAGGTCCCTGTCAATAGATCTATAAACGAAACAACTACTCCCAAGAGTTCATATAAAGAAATAGTCAACTAGCACAGAAGTCCTGATTGGGCCGTCAAGGCCACCATGATCTCTATACTAAAACTGAAAGCAGGTATATATCAAGACAATACATCAAACAGCTCACAAGCTTCAGCAAACCAACAAACTAGGCCAACATGGCCATAACATAGCTATACACCCCACACACTAGTCTGCAAGCCTCTAAGAGTAGTAAAGATTGGTGAGACAGGGCCCCAGCCTACCCATAGAAATATATACAAGAAAAGCTAACAAACCTCTAAACTCTGGCAGCTCCGGAGGAAAGGGGCTAGCCAACCGGATAGAAGTCAATCCTGCTGCTCAGGAGGTCTACTCAGTCATCTGTCGGGACCTGCATGCATGAATGCAGCACCCCCATGCTATGGGGCGTCAGTACAAACTAATGTACAGAGTATGAAAGGCAATAGACTATGAGCAGGTATCCTAATATACTGGAATAATCTGATAAATAAATCAAGGATAAGATAAGTGTACTGACCTACTCCTAAATCTAAACTTATCAAAAATAATAAAACAACAACCTAACCAATCCCCCATAAGCTCGGCAGGTACAAACATCACACAAGACCACCTACTCAGGCCCCCATAAGCCCGGAAGGTGCCAATCGGTCTATATACCCCTATCGGTAATCTCAAAGCCCCGTAGGCAGCCACATAGCCCTCTTAGGCATTAATATAGCCTCGTAGGGAGAACATAGCTCTCTTCGGCATCAACATAGCTTATAGACAACTCATACTTTCACATTTGTAATTCTAATGTATTTTTTACTTCCCATTTTTATTATATGATTTCTATCATTAATGATAATTCTTCCATTTATTTTTTAAATTTCAAAACCTAATATTTCAAGAATAAATTTGCTAGCATAGGATGCGATTAAATAATGTACAATATTAATATTTGAATATAGAAATAAAAAAATGAAATTTAAACGGTTCTAAGATTTGTAGGAATATTTTTCTTACCAAAGTTAAGAAATTATTTGTTCAAAACTTATTCCTTAACTATGGTTATGATACTAGTTAATGCAACATAAATCTTGACCTTTTAACAATTAAAATAGTACACATGTCTCTCATCTAGATGTGTATTTGACGAAATGGAGGGAAAGTGTAATGGAGGGGAGCCAAATCCCAATAAAGCTGGCTGTCAACACTACTTTGCTTTTCATTGGGTTGATAGACTAAAGATATTATTAGCATGGTGTGATATATTGTCTGCTTAATTTGAATCAAATATAGATATTTTTTTATAAAAGGTCTCACATTATTAAGAGTGACATCTACACGTATTGTCTGCTTAATTTGAATCAAATGTAGATTCTCTCAAATTTTAGTCCTATTTTTTAGGACTCCTAGTCCAATATTCCTAGTCTGTACTTGTAGGAGTCTTATAGTTTGACTTATGTTATATTACGTCTCTATACACTTGTACAATATAAATATAGTTGATGATGTATACAGGCATGCTATGCCGTGAGTTATTTGTTACACTATTGTTAATATTTTTTCTTAAAAACGAGTAATTTCACAGGTAATGTTTTTGGCTGCACAGGCATCCATGTTTATTTTCCATTATTAGAAGTGTAAAACAACTCAATTTTGAATAATAATGGAACAAAATCGATTATTTTTACCATAAAATAAAATATTCAATTTGTACTTATACTTGTGGTAATGGGTTAGATCCCCCAAAATGAGCATCTCTATTGTTGTTCACTTGTTCTTTTAATTTTTTCCCTTTACCATTCAAAATTCTTGGATCATATTTAGGTAATATATGTTTTATTTAAAATAAAATTGACTTTGATAAAATAAAAAACAAATGGAAAAAATAATCAAATTCTCTTTTATTCAAATTCCACACAAATCCATTTTATGATTGAGTAGATGAAATTTGTTTTTGTATATATGAAGAGAAAAAGAGCAAGAAAGGGAGGCCAATATAGAAAAATTAACATAGACACTTTTTAATTTTCTTTGTAGAGAACATAAAGTGAAACAAATGAGGAAAATCCAAAAACATTAGGCAAAACATAGTACTTGGCCTGCGAGATATGTCACATTATCTCTCCATAGACCTAAATTATATAATAGATAAATTTCTTCACAGAAATTCATTTACGCTTCAAAGCGACAAACAATATGCTTGCTTTCTCATAATTAACTTTCATCCATTCTGAAATCTCTTTACTCTTGAGAATTGTTCTTGCACAAGCTTCTTCTGCTATTTTACTTCCAAAATGATTGATTATGACTCCTTCTATAGCACTTCTTAGACTCATCATTAAAGTCTTTGCATCAACCTCATCCACAAGATTTGATTTGATATTTATCAACTCCATTCTCTCAATGCTAAAAAGTCCATTTTTCTCCACTACTTTAGTCATGTCTTGAGGAGAGGGTAAATACAATGGCAAATTGAATGAGTCAACTAGAAATTCATCTAATTTTCCCTATGAAAAAAAGAAAGAAACATCAATGACTAATTTATTATCAGTGTATTTCAATTTATGTGAACATATTTTCTTTTTAATTTGTTGGAAAAGTGCTTAGCATATTTAATATCATAAGTTCCAATTAAAATGCTTGTTATAATCTATGGGCGATAGCCACACAAATATTTTGTCATAATATAAGTTTTTAAAGTCTAGACTATTTAAACTTTGAAAACTTTATGCCTAGTCAATAAAAGTTCAAATAAACTGAAATAGGTAAAAGTATATGACATACTAAAATACACTTGAAACTTGTTCAAAACAAGTCAAAAGGCAAAATATCGTCATACAAAATAAAATAGAGATTACCTCATTCACCATATCCATAAGACTAGAACCAAAAAATCTCAAAAGACGTATGTAGCCTGAAATTGGTGTAACAAGCACCATCATTCCTCCGGGAACAATCTCCTCAGCTCTTGCATTAAAGAACATTTCCATGTCCCTTTCAAATTGAGCAACATAAGCATTCACTATTTCAACATTTGATGCACCAGCATAGTCAATCAATCCCTTATTCCAAGCTGGGGAATTTTTATCTAACAACTCTTTTGGAATCTTAGATAACCAATGTATAGCAGTAGAACAATGAGCAAAATGTATCGATCGTGATGGAAATAATCTACCATGGAAAGATCCTGGAACTCCAGATGCATAGTAGAATCGATCAACAGGTAGTGAACGAAAAAGGGTGTTGAAATCATTGGTGACTTGATCATTGAAGAATATTTGGAATTCAGGAATAGTACTCTTGGTGGAATCTATGACTTGGTCTTGGTATAAGTACTTGTCCTTTAGAGCTTCTACAATATGTTGCATTGAGCTAAAAGTGTTTGGTCCAACAGAACATCCCAACTCTGTAATATGTAATGTGTTTGAAGAAGATAATATGGTCTTGATGTCAAGCTTTCGAATAATTACATCTCTCATCATCTCCTTTGCACCATCTATTATTTCTTTCTGCGTGCAATTATAACAATAAAGTCACTTTGTTAGAAAAGTTCAGTTATTTATTGATGTTTGTGTAACAACGGTTAAAGTTACTTATGTTACTATTATAGTGTGTAAAATATAATCAATTTAGTGTGATATATAGTCGTGTTTTACTGTTATAGTGGATAAGTCGATAACTATACACATATAATTGGTGTACGGCTTGTTTGTATAGCATGCCAAAAGTTTTAGCTAATAGCATAGACACAACTTTATTTCTTAACTAAATCCAAGCAAACATCACGTTCTCTCATGACTCCAACTGAGACCACCCTAGCCCACTCGTGGGCCTCACCATAGGCAAGATGTTGGTGTTACCCAACAATCCTCCTCCCAACACCTGCCTCATGCATCTAATTTTTGCTCTTGGAAATCGAATCATATGATCTTGGTTGATATCACTTGTAAGAATCTAGCGCTTACCACCATGACAAAAAATATAGCTAATATCAAGGGCACAATTTTATTTCTTAATTAATTCCATCAATTTTCGATCATAAATCCAAACTGGGCAACCCAACCCCAGAAGAAAATTGACATTATCCAACATTATGCTTGATGAATTCTTGATTGAGTTTTACATTTACACTCACAAAATAATTTTTGTACAAGAAAATATGCTTGATATAAGTTGGATTAAAAACAAAAATTAGATAATTTGTTATAATATGTTAAACTAAAATATATGAGATCAATACCTGCAAATGGGAGTTTTTGGAGTAGCTATAAAGACCATCACCAGCATTCATGGGGAATGATGTTGTCATTTTGGCTTAATGTGTTTTCTCATTCACTCAAAATGTGATCTTATTATATATGTGGATTTTGCACTGTTTAACTCCATGCCACATGAATATATAGTTACATCGGATACATAACTATGAACATGATTCATAATGAGAATTGTAAGGGATGTATCTGAGAGTGGATTGTTGTAATTTTTTAAAATGATAGTAAATTTTAAAAATTATAATATATTAAATTTTATATTTATATAATTTTTCTAATTAATAATACATTAATAAAATATTGAAAACAGAAATTTCGTTCAAGTAATCAACTAATTACATGTACTGTTATTCGTTATATAACAATTCTTACATTATTATTCATCACATAATAAATCTTTCATTGTCAAAAATATGACTAAAAACAACTTAAAAAATCATATTCATCATGTCAAATTTATGATAAGTGCAAAAAAGTTGTAAAAGAGAAGAAAACAAATAATAATGTTATTGTCCACCGAATTCAATAAAAGGAAAGGTATAATATATAAGCGTATTTTTTTTAATTTACCCTCAATTGTTATTTAGGTTCTTAATAAACACTTAAGTTTGAATGAACTTAAATAAATAAATATATATACCCTACTTGAAATAACACACACGGTGACACAAAATGTCATATAAACACAAATATCTACTTATATATATATATATATATATATATATATATATATACATAAAGATAGAGGTAATAGGTCCTTATGAAAGTTTAGTATCGCAACAACAAATTCGACCAAAGTTAGAGTATTTTTCAGACCCTTATCCCTTTATATATCATGTCAAAAAGAAATTTGGCTATTTGATGCACGTGCCTATATAGAGTTGAACTTTATATGGCCGCCAGTGAGATAATTTTGGTGGCTAAAAAAAAAATTCATAAAAAAGAGATTTTTATCTTGAAAATAAAATATACTGAATAATTTAATAGTATGAAAAAAATTTAATGTCAAATTTATTTAGTATGATTTGGTACTCATAAAGTTCGATTTTGTTATTTTACAGTATGATAAATTGAGAATTATAATTTGTTCGTTATATAATAATGAATTTGTGACTTTGATTTTTCAGAATTTCTAAATTATATCATACTAACACCTTAACCATATAAAAATATTTAAAATTAAAGAAATTAAGAAAGTCTTTGTTACCTAATTACACGAAAAGGATACTCTAATCAAAATAAGATAGCCAAATTTCCAATGTTTAAACCATTATTAAAAAAATGGACCACCTCCGATACTTTATTGAATTCTTGACAAAAGTAGATCATGTATACAAATACATTCAGATCTAGCTCTCAATAACATAATAACAATCACCTTTATAATAACATTTCACTATAAAAGTTAAGCTTTTTTTAAATCAATATTCTATGTTATGTTTTACTTCTTTGTAACATTCTTTTTACCTACAACAACAATATCTAATCCGCACATTTTTTTTCCATTTCATATCCATACATATCCTACACAAATATAAATACAAATTAGCAAAACACTACATATATGTGGACTCTTAAACTTGTCCCTAAATTTCATTTTGGCACTCCAATTCAACCTTGTTCCATTTTAACCCTTCAACTTCAATTTTCATGTTTCATTTAGACACTTCTAAGTAATGTGGTAGAATGTGTACATCACACTTTCTCTAAGGGAGTAAAAGCCAAAAACAATTTATTTTTTTAAAAAAATAAAATAAAAAATTAACCCTTTAACTCTATTTTATAGTACCATTTAAACACAAAATACCGATTTATGATTTCTTATTTTATTTATGTTCATTACAATTAAGCAGAATCGTCTCGATCATAAGGCCACTAAAGCACAATGACTTGGGACCCTAAATATTTTAGGCCCCAAATTTATATATATATATATATATATATATATATAATATCATTACTCTTATATTTACCTATTTTATTTCCCTTTCTATTTTTTTCTCTCATTATTGAATATTCTAAAGTCTATTAAATAGTCAAACCTAGTTATGAATTTTGGCCATTAGGCTCTACAATTAAGTATATTTATAGCCTAACATCAAACACTTATCTATAAATATCTTTTGGACGATCAAATCTTTTATGTTATTGGTTGATAGTTATAGAATTAAAAGTTAGTTAAAGTAAAAATAAAAAATACTATGTTGGTTGATATTGACTGATTATAAACGATAATTGGAATTTGTGTGGTCAAAATTTGTAGAATAAATTATTGGATATATTAGATATTGTCATAAACTGTAACATGACTTCGACTTTATGGTTATCTTTAGATATTTCCCCACCTATCATGAACACATTTGAAACAAACTGATGAATTGGATGTGGCATCGTTTGGCTCACATACTAGTTATACATATAAATTATGATGCAAGATGTTTTATACGATGAATAATATTAATGAATAGATTATTACGCAATGAATAATAATGCGTGGATTTTATTGCTTCTGAGGTTACACATTGCTATAGGGAAGTCAACCAAGTTGCAGATGCCTTGGCAAAATGGAGCTAGTATTACAAATGAGGAGTCATTTATTTTTATACATGCTCACCTACTATCGATAGCCATCGGACCTTATAAACTTGATCTCATACAAATGGAGTCCCTAAGGCATAAGCAGAGGAAGAATTATTTTGTATAGAACTGATCCAGTTGAGATATTATAGCTAATTTTGTCTAGCACATTGGACTTGTAAATTTGTGCAAAACTTGTATAGTTTTTATCAGAACTTTAGTTTTTGTGAAGCAGCTATTGGAATGGGTCAAGCTTAAGCTCCACGTAGCTTTGTAATTTTATTCATTAATATAGAGGTCTCACCACTATACCGTGATAAATTATTATTATTATTATTATTATTATTATTATTATTATTATTATTATTATTATTATTATTATTATTATTATTATTATTATTATAGAAAGGCACATAGTTTTTTTATTTTTTAAAAAAATGCATGGATTTTATTAGACAGTGAATATATAATGGTACATGGGATGTTAACAATGTTATATAATGCATATGATTAGTTGATTACTTAGAGTCTACTCGGGTGGATTTAATTATAACTTATCACTTCTAGGTTAAAAGTTATAAGTTAAAGATTCTTTACGTGGAGGGTATTTTTTTATCTTAAAAGTTATAAGTTGAGATTTTTCACTTGGAGGGTATTTTTTTATCTTAAAAGTTGATAAGATTAGGAAAAACATAGTTCTTGGCCTCTTATTGTTTCAAAAATCACAAGAAGACATTCTTGGAAAAGGATTTTGAAATTTTAGCGTAAATTTTAAGCAAAAAATAAGAAAGTTAAAAGGACAATTAATGAGGAAAAGGTAAAAATTAGTTATTACTGGGGAGAAAAAGAGCAATAAAGGGAGGCCAATTTAGAAAAATTAACAAAGACACTTTTTAATTTTCTTTGTAGAGAACATAAAGTGAAACAAATGAGGAAAATCCAAAAACATTAGGCAAAACATAGTACTTGGCCGGCCAGATATGTCACATTATCTCTTCATAGACCTGAATTATATAATATATGCTTTAGAAATGATTTATTCAAAATTCAGACATTGTTTAAAATTAAGAATTTATAAATTCAAAATTTTAGCTTGATTTATCTCTATCTCCCTTATTAAAGAAATGGACTTTAAGTCTTATTTAACCTCATAAGTTAATTTATTCAAGATGTGAGGATCGTTTATAATTATATAAAGAATTTAAGTGCATTCTCAACGTTAAGTAAATAATTAACTGGGACAGGCCTATACGATATTACATAAATAATTCTTAAATCTATATCAACCCTAAAAGTTTACTTTAAAAATGAGAATTACTCAAGATTATATAAAGAATTTAAATACACGCTAACCCACGAATTTGAGACTATAATATCCTTTAAATAAATTATATAAACCACATAAATTTGAATTAATTGAATCAATATATTTCGTACCACGACCGACTAATAAACAAAAGAAAACGACAATACTTGTCTGGGGAAAAAACTAATGTACGATGAGTAGTCATTTTCAAATTTCTTAGTACATTATTTTTCAAAAGTAAATCAACTTGAAGAGTATATATTAATTATTATTTCTTTGAAAACATGTCTTGATAGAGACGAATTATAATTTTTAAAACTGGATGTATCATTAAAAAATTTACTAAATGAGAATTAACCCCTAGTATATTTAAGATAAGTTATTTAGCCTTCTTATAATATAGCATCATCAAAAAAAATAATTCAATTTTTAAATATATATAAACATAGTTCTTGGCCTCTTATTGTTTCAAAAATCACAAGAAGACATTCTTGGAAAAGGATTTTGAATTTTTTAGCATAAATTTTAAGCGAAAAATAAGAAAGTTAAAAGGACAATTAATGAGGAAAAGGTAAAAATTAGTTATTACTGGGGAGAAAAAGAGCAATAAAGGGAGGCCAATTTAGAAAAATTAACAAAGACACTTTTAATTTTCTTTGTAGAGAACATAAAGTGAAACAAATGAGGAAAATCCAAAAACATTAGGCAAAACATAGTACTTGGCCGGCGAGATATGTTACATTATCTCTTCATAGTCCTGAATTATATAATATACGCTTTAGAAATGATTTATTCAGAATTCAGACATTGTTTAAAATTAGGAATTTATAAATTCAAAATTTTAGCTTGATTTATCTCTATCTCCCTTATTAAAGAAATGAACTTTGAGTCTTATTTAACCTCATAAGTTAATTTATTCAAGATGTGAGGATCGTTTATAATTATATAAAGAATTTAAGTGCATTCTCAACGTTAAGTAAATAATTAACTAGGACGGGCCTATACGATATTAAATAAATAATTCTTAAATTTATTTCAACCCTAAAAGTTTACTTAAAAAATGAGAATTACTCAAGATTATATAAAGAATTTAAATACACGCTAACCCACGAATTTGAGACTATAATATCCTTTAAATAAATTATATAAACCACATAAATTTGAATTAATTGAATCAATATATTTCGTACCA